GTTTTCCTTTGGGTTCACTCTGGTGTTGTCCATTCTCGGGGTGTTGGACAAACATTTAATGACCTGTGTCCATCATGAGAATATCATGCAGAGTATTTTCACTGCCCCTAATGTCTCCTGTGCTCCAAGGAAACAAAAGCTAAAAGAAACTAATGGAATCATATCAGACTAAAAAGCTTCTAATTAGTGAAGGAAACTATCGTTAAAATGAAAAGACAATATCAAATCGGGGAAACTATTTGCACATCATCAATCCAACAAGGAGTTAATATCCAAAATCTACAAAGAACTCCAAAACAAGAAAACATCTCAAACTAGGGGCAGAGGAGCTAAATAGGTATTTTTCTAAAGAAGACACACATGTGGCCAATAGGTGTGTGGATAAATGTTTGTCATCATGTGCTGTCAGGAAAATGCCAATTAAAACCACAATGAGTTACCACCTCACACTGTGAGAATGGCCCATTGAAGGATGTGGAGGAAAAGGAACTCTGGCACATGGTAGGTGGGAATGGAGACTGGTCCTGTTAGTGGGCAGAATGAGGGGTTCCCTGGATCCTCAAAACTGCACACTCTACATGGGATCTGCCATCAGCTGCATAAAGACAAAACATACTCTGAAGTGTAAGACCTTCAATAGAAAAGAACTTTAATACAACTAGTATAAAATAGAGAATCAGTGTGCAATAGAGAGAGAGAGAAGAGAAAGAATACAATTAGAATAGTTTCCAAGTGAAGCACCCAAAGCTACCCGTCCCCTCATGGGTAAATGCCCAGCCAAACAGGCTTGGCCCAAAGCAGGCCCACTGAAGCCCGAAGACCTGCCACAAGGCTAAGGCTACTGGTACCAAGGCTACTGGTAGAGACCCATGGGAAAAGACAGGAGGGGCCATGCAAGTCTGAAAGGAAAAGAGCAAAATCAAAATCCACATCAAGATAACAGCTGCCATTGTCAGCCTCCCCATGGGCCTCTCACCCATGTCTTTGTCTATTTCACGTGTCTCTTTCCATGTCCTCAACTCCCTGGCACAAGTCCAAGCCTGAGGAGCAAGCCTGGCTTCTTCTTCACATGTCTCCCTGCTCCATGCTCCTCCTCCAGTCTTCTTTCCTGATCTTACTCCACATCTTCCTCCTCTTCTTTAGCTTCTCATCCCTGCTCAGCTCCACCTTTCCTTGAGTGGGGCGGTAACCTGGAACCTTTCTTTTCTATGGATAGCAGATTGGTCCTGCCCCTATGGAAAAAAGAATATGAAGGTTCCTCAAAATGGACCTGTCACATGGTCAAGCATCCCATTCCTTGGTATTTATCCAAAGAAGGTAAAAACACTAATTCTGAGGGACCTCCCCGTGCCCGCGGCCTCTGCAGCACTGGTTCGTTCCCCAGCTACCGGCGAGGGTCCCACATGGCGCAACAGACCTCTCCTGTCTCGCCTGCTGCTCCCCTCAGCAGTGCATTTCGTCAGTCTGCCTTTCTGCTCCCCGCTCTGGCTCTGGTGAATTCTCTCACCCTCTGTGCTTCTTACTGTACCTAGTGCTTGTATAAATAAATAAATAAATCTTTAAAAAAAAACCACACTAATACTGAGGAATATGCGCCTCCTATGGTCACTGCAGCACTGTCTACCATAACCAAGCTATGGAGACAACGTAAGTGCTGAATGACAGATGAGGGGATAAAGAACACAAACTATATACACAATGGAATACTACTTGGCTGTGAAAAAGATGAAATATTGGATTTGCAACAACATGGATAGATATGGATGGGATTATGCTAAGTGAAATAAGTTTGAAGTGAAAAAGTTAAATACTGGATGATTTCATTCATATTTGGAATATAAAGAAACAAAACACGGACAGACTAAACCAAAACATAAACTAAACCAAAACATACTCTCTATATATGACTGCAGAATTGAAGCTATGGGCTGGGGTAAGAGTAGGAAACAAAGTAGGAAGAGGGCCCAGTGGACTATGGTGAAGAACTGTGGGTGCCCTTAGGGTGGGTGTGATGTGGTAACAAACATCTGAAGCGGTGTGACCCTTGTCTCTGAACACTTTCGTTGTGTAAACCAATGCTAATCTCAATTGAGTAATACAGCGAGGGGAAAAAGAAAAAAAAAGTAAATTATCTCTTCCATCAGTCACTGACCTCAGGACTTTGCCTTCGCCTCCTCACTATCATACAGGGTGAGGGGCTGTTTTCCCACAAGGTCAGAGGCAGGAGGTGCAGGGACTCCTGGGGCTGCTAAGACACCACTGAGTAGAGACACTGCAGAGAGGGCGGCTCTGAGGGGAACCAGAGCAGAGGGTCAGAGTAACCCCCAGTGCTGAGTGAGGATCTGGTTCCCAAGGAGAGGGGAGTGCGTGCATGTGCCCCCTTCCAGTGTGTGTGTGTGTATGCGTGTGTGTAACAGGAGAGACAGGATATACAACATAAGATGATGGGAAGTGAATTAACATCCAGCCCCAGAATAAATTAATTCAAATCGCACACAGAGTAAAGAGTGTCAGAACAATACCTCAGTAAATACAGTTCCATGGAGAAACAGCTTCTGAGCAGGACTGAAAAAGCATTGGCCCTGAAGAAGAGGAGGAGGTTTAGAAATACCACATGGTTGGCCTGATGTGTAAAGAGCTGGGCAGGACCCCTCCCCCCACCCTGGCCCCTGCTAGGATGTGGTGGCATCTTCACCCCTGACAGCTCCCTCCCCCAAACCCCAACGTTCCTCTCCTTTGGAGTCACCAGTATATGTACATATATGTATACGTGTAATCCCAGCTGCTTCTTAATTTCCCACCTGTCTGGGGCATGTAGGTGGTTCCCATAGCTTGGCTACTGTAAATAGTGCTGCAGTGGTGACGGGAGTGCAGGTCCCGTCACAGGAGAGTATTTATCCTCTGTGAGTAGATGCTCACTGTAGAATTGTTGGGCCCAAAGGCAGAACCACATTCACCCTTATAAGAAACCTCAGTACTGTTTCCAGAAGGGCTGGCTCAGTCTTTATCCAAAAATAACGCAGGACTGTCCCCTTTTTTGCACATCCTTGCCAGTACTTGTTGTTTTGGCCCTCTGGATATGGGCCATTCTCGCAGGTGTGAAGGTTTAAGCCAGGGCATCATAAAGGCACAAAATGTGGGCAAAAAGAAATCCTGTAACACTCAGGCCAACACAAGGCTGTCTCTCACTGTGAAAGAAAATAATCATGAAGAAACTCAGGTGAATTACCTGCGTGTTAACATTATCAATGGTCCACTGCATTCTCAAGATGTCCTCCTGAAAGCATCCCCGTCACCTAGTCCCAGCCTCTCTGCCTCAACCCCCACCCCCACTGCAGTCCTCCAGGGTCTCACTTATAGGGACTGAGATACACTTCAGAGCACTGGGACTGTGGCTGCCTGGGGGAGAACACAACAAAACTTGGTCAGAGATGAGACCACGGGAGGAACTGATGAGAGTGACTCCCCCATGGGCTCCATCTACACTGTCCCCAGGGGCTCAGGGAACAAACCCCTGATCCACACTTACCTGCAGCCTGAGTGTAGCTTCCTCCTTGTCCTCCTGTGGGAAGAAGCATCATGTGAGACCAGGGAGGAGTCAGGTCAGAAGCCTAAAAGAATCTTCTAATCCTGCACCACAGGGAAGTTTCCAGAACTGTGAGTAAAGTCCCAGATCAGGACTTGGAAAAATGAAGAAAGGAGATGAAGGGGGACTGGACCAAATGCCCTCTGGGCAACACACATGTGTGGATGGTACTTCCTATTAACCAGGCAGGGCAAGTTCTCCCTGGGACCTGAAAGTCCTCAGTGGACAAGATCCCCCACTCCCTTCCCTACCTGAGCACTTCTTCTTTCCCTTCACACATGAAGCCACCTTGTGTGCAATGAGCACACCTCCAAAGAAAACCGAGCCGGAAATGAGGACCACAGCAAGGATGGAGAACTGAGGAGGTGGCACTGGAAGGGAAGGGAAGGTCAGACCCTGAACCTGAGGCCTCAGTCTGACCTTCTGAAGGTCTCCAGAAGGGCTTCTGATGCCCCTGAGTCAGCCACGTGCCCACATCTCCCTCCTTACCCCATCTCAGAACTCAGGGTGCTATCAGCCCCTCATGCTGCACATGGCACGTGTATCTCTGCTCCTCTCCAGAAGGCACCTCCACAGCCGCCCACTTCTGAAAGGTTCCATCTCCCCCAGGCCTGGTCTCTACCAGCTCTGTCTCCTGGGTCAGGTCCTCCCCACCTCGCTGCCAGGTCAGGGTGATGTCCGTAGGGTAGAAGCCCAGGGCTCAGCAACTCAGGGTGACCTCATGCTCAGAGATGGGGTGATGGGTCACCTATGGCGATTGGGGGCCTGAGTGGGAGGAACCGGAAATTTCATGCTTTGTGTTTCCTGCATGGACACTGAAGCAGCCTCATGTGACCATCCTCCAGTGGACAGAACAGTATGCTTGGAGGGAGGAAGCACAAACCCCAGAAACCAGCCTGGTCTGGGAGTCCGGGATAGCAGGTGAGAGCCCAGGGAGGGATGCAGGTCTCTAAGCATTTTGTTACTGACTTGGGTGGAGGGTGATGACACAGACAGGCAGGAGTGAGAGCTCCAAAAATGCTCTCTGACCAAAAAACAGGATCTCGAGAGAGAAACTCATTGTTCCTAAGATGGCTGCCGGCCAAAAGTGAAGGGAGATTTCAGGGGTGGTGTCCCTTCTTTCTTAGGAGAAACTGGATTCCTTAACTGTCCTTCAGAAAAAGTAGGAGCCTCTGGGCCAGTCTTCATCCCAGAGCTTGAAAACGTGGCCGACAGCTCCCTCTCTGGCCAGAAGGGGGCGCGTTCTCACCATGATTCCACTTCCCTGCGGGGCGTGCGCCTCAGGGAGACCAAAGCCCCGCAGCCCCTCTTCAGCCCCGCCCTTCAGTAACCCCGTGGTCTCCCGCCCGCACCCGATCTCCCGCCCTGAATAATCCTAAACTTAAATAAAACCTAAAGGGTGCTTTTTCCCTCCATGGTTTCTCTCCGCTCCCGCGAGTAACTTGGCTCCGGGGGCGCCGCCCGCCGCCCGCCGCTGCCGCGAGCAGACCCCTCCCGACGGCCCTCGCCGCGCGGGCCGGGAGCCTCTCCCCGCTCCGCCTCTGCCGCGGAAAGTGAAGTTTGAAGAGCGGGGAAGAGGGAATCGTGGAAATGAAGAGGAGGATCCACCTAGAGCCGAGGAACCGGCCCCCGGCCGCGGTTCGAGAACTTGTCCTGGACAACTGCACAGCAAATGACGGGAAAATTGAGGGCCTGGCAGATGAATCTGTGAACTTAGAGTTCCTCAGTTTGATAGGTGTAGGCTGGATTTCAGTCTCAAATCTCCCCAAACTACCTAAATTGAAAAAGCTTGAGCTCAGTGACAATAGAATCTTCGGCGTTCTGGACATGTTAGCAGAAAAACTTCCAAATCTCAAACATCTTAACTTAAGTGGAAATAAACTGGAAGACACCAGCACCTTGGAACCTTTGAAAAGGTTGGCATGTCTGAAAAGCCTGGATCTGTGTAACTGTGAGGTCACTGACCTGAACGACCACCGAGAGGGTGTGTTCAAGCTTCTGCCTCGGCTGACCTGTCTGGACGGCTGTGACCAAGAGGATGGAGAAGCCTCCGGCTCAGATGCTGAGGTGGATGGTGTGGATGAAGAGGAGGAGGATGGGGGGGCGGAGCAACATGGCGGCGAGGAGACGCTGCGAGTAAGATCTCCCATTAAAAAAAAGTGAATAGGGAGGAAAAGCGGCAGGTCCCAGTGAGAACTGGGACACGGAAGATAAACGGGTGACGCCAGCGAACTGCCCGAAGAAGAAAGTGGCCATAAAAGAGGACTAGAGGGGAGGGAAGCGCAGAACCCTGCTCCCCTCCCCCGCCCACAGAAGCGGCACTCTCCGACCCCGCAGAGAGGAGGGAAACAACAAACCAAAACGGCCCAGAAGAACAAACGACGCAGCAAGCGGGACTGGGAGTGGAAAGGAACTATTGCAGCCACCACACCCCGTGAACGGGAGCTGAGGCGAACCCTGCAGGATCCGCCGCCGCGGTGAGCGAACGGCTCCGGGCGCCATTAGAGAAGAACAAAGACCCCGGGAGACGCGCACACAGCCCGGGCTGCCGGTAAGCTGGCGCGGGAAAGCGGCGCGCTCGGTGCGCTTGAAAAGCAAGTGCAGACCTGGATCTCGGCTGCCCAGGTCCCCGCGCCTGCGACCTAGGCTTGCGGGGAGACGACCTAGGCTTGCGGGGAGACGCGCGGAGGTCCTCACTGAGGTGAAGGTCCCTCCCTGAGTGAGCAGGAACCAGGCGCCTAGGCACGGGAGCGGTGCAAAAGGCGCCATTCCCGCGCCACTGAACTGGGCTACAGCCCGCGTCCTGGAACTGAGGGCTTTGAACTGAGACCCGGGGCACGAAAATTCGGGGCGTGGTTTCTCCACGACGGTGGGGCACAAGGCAGACACAGCACCCCAAAGCTGTTGAGGTGTACCCTACCATTCCCGCTCTGTTCTCTGTCCCACGGGGTGGGGGGAGGCGAAAAACAGCCCCCCAAGGACAATAGGAGAGATCTCTGGCGCCACCTAGCGACCAGGAAAAAAAAGTCACTAACACCCTATAAAACAGGACATTTCTTAAGACTGCTTGAAAAGGGCAGAAGGTTTCTGGAGGACCCAGTGGCCAGCCGGGAAGTTATTCCACGCCAGGCCCCTTCCGACCAGCAGTCTGAGCCCACAGAGGGAGCAGGCACCCACGTCCGGGGCAGACCGGGTGCGCAGAAGAGTGTGCCTGAAACTGGAGGCGCAGGGACTGCATCCCGCTTCGCCATTTGAGAACAGGGACATTTCTTCAGTAAAAACTGCCTAAAACCAGCAGAAAGCTCCCCCAGAAGACAGAGATGGCTCCTGGAAGAGCCAGAGGGGAGCGGAGAAGTTCACCCAAGATGTCAGTCAGTCCGAGCAACACAGTGTCCCAACGCATACGACAAATTAGAAAACAGACAGTAGGGAGTAGAAGAACCACACGCAACCTAACAACTCCTCAGGAAAGAAGCACACCACAAAAAGAAAACCACTCCCCAGATTGCAACGACAGCAACTTGGAAGAACTTCTGAGCCTTCCAGAAAGAGAATTTAAAATTGCCATGATTAAAAAAGTGATAGATCAGAAGAAGGAAATTGAGTCCCTAAAGAGGGAAGTAAGAGAAATGCAGGAGATCAAAGAATTAATGGAGGAACTAAAGAACTCTGGGAAAAGCAATGAAAGCAGAATAGATGAAATGGAAGAACGAATAAGTAATCTTGAAGACACAGAAATAAAAAGAACCAAAACAGAAAAGGAAAGAGAAGTACGAAGGAAAAAGAATGAAGAAAGACTTCGCGAACTATCTGACTCCATGAGGAAAGGAAATATAAGAGTTATAGGAATTCCAGAAGGAGAGGAGAGAGATGTAGGAACAGAGAAAATATTCATGGATATAATTGAAGAGAACTTCCCAAATGAGAAGAAGGAGCTGAAAATTGATATACAAGAAGCAAGAAGAACACCAAACTTCCACGACGAAAGGAAAAACACAGCAAGACACATAATAGTAAAGCTCCCAAGAATCCAGGACAAGGAAAAAATAATGAAGCTGACAAGAGGGAAGAAACAGATAACATTCAAAGGAAAACCAATCAGGCTGACATCAGACTTCTCTGAAGAAACACTACGGGCAAGGAGAGAGTGGAGGGACATAGTCAACAGACTCCAAGAAAACAGATGCCAACCAAGAATACTCTATCCCGCAAAGCTCTCTTTCCTCCATGAAGAAAGAATATGGACCTTCCCAGACAAAGAGAAACTCCGGAATTTCATTGCGACTAAACCCCCACTCCAAAAAATACTACAAGGAATCCTAAAGCCAGAACCTCAGAGGGACGAATAACAACGAAAGAAGAGCAAAAAAAAAAAAAAAGTTATTAAAAGAATAAATAAATAAAATCAAAGGAAAGACAAACATAATGGCAAATACAGATGCTAACATATCAATATTAACTCTAAATGTAAATGGACTAAACTCTTCAATAAAAAGACACAGAGTTGCAGCCTGGATTAAGAAACAAAACCCAACCTTTTGCTGTCTCCAGGAAACACATTTAGCTACAAAAGATAAAAATAGGCTCAAAGTCAAAGGATGGAAAACAATCCTACAAGCAAATGGGCCAAAAAAGAAAGCAGGAACAGCTATACTTATATCAGATAAAACAGACTTCAAACTCAAAAAAATAAAAAGAGACCCCAATGGTCACTACATTATGATTAAGGGGACAATACTTCAAGAAGAAATAACACTCATTAACATATACTCACCAAACGAAAGAGCACCAAAATATATCAGACAACTGTTGTCCTCTCTGAAAACAGACATCAGAGAAAACACATATGTAGTGGGAGACTTCAACACACCACTATCAACAATGGATAGATCAACAAGACAAAAAATAAGTAAAGAAACTAAAGCTCTAAATAAGGACCTAGAGCATTTGGGCTTAACAGACATCTATAGAACACTAAACCCAAAAAAAACGGAGTACACATTTTTCTCAAGCGCACACGGATCATTCTCCAGGATCGATCACATACTGGGGCACAAGACAAACATCAACAGATACACCAAGATTGAAATCATACCAACCATCTTTTCTGACCACGAAGGCATCAAACTAGAAATAAATCATAAAAAGAAGGCAAGGAACTATCCTACCTCATGGAGACTAAAAGCCACACTACTGGAAGACCACTGGACTAACGAGGAGATCAAAGAAGAAATTAAAAAATTCTTTGAATTGAATGACAAGGAGGACACCAATATCCTAAATGTATGGGATGCAGCAAAAGCAGTAATAAGAGGAAAATATATAGCAATAGAAGCTCACATCAAAAAACAAGAAAGAACTCAAAGAAACAACCTAATCTCGAAGCTCAAAGATCTAGAAAAAGAACAACAAAAAAACCCCAGAACCAGTAGAAGAAAAGAAATAATAAAAACCAAAGCAGAAATAAATGAAATTGAAACTAAAAAAACAATCCAAAAGATCAATGAAACCAAGAGCTGGTTCTTTGAAAAAATAAATAAAATAGACAAACCCCTAGTCAGGCTCACAAAGGAAAAAAGGGAGAAAGCACAAATACACAGAATCATAAATGAAAGAGGAGAAATCACAACGGACACAGCAGAAATCAAAAGAATAATCAGTAACTACTATGAACAGTTATATGGAAACAAGTTCAACAATCTAGAGGAGATGGACAAATTCCTACAACTCTACAATCACCCAAAGCTAGATAAAGAAGAAATAGAACACCTAAACAGACCAATTACAAGCAGCGAAATTGAAATGGTAATTAAAAACCTCCCCAAAAACAAAAGCCCAGGACCTGATGGATTTACAAATGAATTCTACCAAACATTCAGAGACAAATTAGTGCCTATCCTTCACAAACTCTTCCAAAAAATTGAGAAGGAAGGGACAATACCAAACACGTTCTATGAAGCCAATATTACACTAATACCAAAACCGAATAAGGACAACACAAAAAAGGAAAACTATAGGCCAATCTCCCTAATGAACACTGATGCAAAAATCCTCAATAAAATTTTAGCTATCAGAATCCAACAATGTATCCATAAGATAATTCACCACGACCAAGTTGGATTCATTCCAGGGGCACAAGGATGGTTTAACATCCGAAAATCAATCAACGTTATCCAACACATCAACAAAAAGAAATATAAAAACCATATGATAATATCAATAGATGCTGAGAAAGCTTTCGACAAAGTGCAACACCCATTCATGATAAAAGCCCTTGAAATTCTTGGGATACAAGGAACATACCTCAACATCATAAAGGCCATCTATGACAAGCCAACAGCCAGTATCATTCTCAATGGTGAAAAGCTGAAAGCAATTCCATTAAGATCTGGAACAAGACAAGGATGTCCACTCTCACCACTGCTTTTCAATATAATACTGGAAGTCCTAGCCAGAGCAATAAGACAAGAGAAAGACATCCAAGGAATCCAAATAGGAAAAGAAGAAGTCAAACTATCACTATTTGCAGATGATATGATAATATACATAGAGAACCCCAAAATCTCCACAGAAAAACTAATTCAACTCATCAATCAATTCAGTAAAGTGGCAGGATACAAAATCAACACGCAAAAGTCAGTAGCCTTCCTATACACAAACAATAAATCTGAAGAAGAAGAAATCAAAAAAACCACCCCTTTTATTATCGAAACAAAAAAAATCAAATATTTGGGAATAAATCTAACAAAAGAGGTAAAGGACCTATACAAAGAAAACTATAAAACACTGTTAAAAGAAATAGAAGAAGACACAAAGAAATGGAAAGACATCCCCTGCTCATGGATTGGAAGAATAAACATTATTAAAATGGCCATCCTACCAAAAGCAATCTACAGATTCAATGCTATTCCAATCAAAATCTCAATGGCATTCTTCAAAGAAATAGAACAATTATTGATGAAATTCATATGGAATCACCAAAAACCCCGAATAGCCAAAGCTCTCCTGAAAAAAAAAGAAGGAAATGGAGGCATCACACTCCCAGACTTCAAACTATACTACAAAGCCATAATCATCAAAACTGCATGGTATTGGAACAAGAACAGACATACAGACCAATGGAATCGAATAGAAAATCCAGAAATAAACCCACAGATTTATGGTCAACTAATCTTTGACAAAGGAGCAAAGACTATGCATTGGAGCAAAGAAAGTTTGTTCAATAAATGGTGCTGGGAAAACTGGGTCGCTACATGCACAAGAATGAAGCTTGACCACTACCTCACACCATACACAAAAATCAACTCAAAATGGATTAAAGAACTAGACATAAGACCTGAAACCATAAAATACATAGAAGGAAATATAGGCAAAACACTACGGGATTTGCACATCAAAGACATCTTTACAGACACATCACCCAAAGCAGTGATAGTGAAGACAAAGATAAACAGCTGGGACTACATCAAATTAAAGAGCTTCTGCACAGCAAAAGAGACAATAACAAAAACAAAGAGAAACCCCACCAACTGGGAGAACATTTTTGCACCCAACACTAATGATAAAGGACTGATCACAAAAATCTGCAAAGAGCTGATGAGACTCAGCAACAACAAAGAAAATAATCCAGTCAAAAAATGGGCAGAAGAGCTAAAAAGAAACTTCTCTGAAGAGGAAATGCAAATGGCCAACAGACATATGAAAAAATGTTCAACATCACTCGTAATCAGGGAAATGCAAATCAAAACTACCATGAGATACCATCTCACACCAGTGAGAATGGCACATATTAAAAAAACTAGCAACAACAAATGTTGGCGAGGATGTGGAGAAAAAGGAACTCTTGTGCACTGTTGGTGGGAGTGCAAACTGGTCCAACCACTATGGAGAGCTGTGTGGAGATTTCTGGACCTACTAAACATAGAGCTTCCATATGATCCAGCAATTCCACTCCTAGGTATTTACCCAAAGGACACAGAAACATCAATTCCAAAGAGCACCTGCACTCCTATGTTTATAGCAGCACTGTTTACAATAGCTAAGCTTTGGAAACAACCCAGATGCCCAAAAATAGATGACTGGATCAAGAAGATGTGGTACATATATACCATGGAATATTACTCAGCATTCAAAAAAGATAAACACATGCAATTTGCAGCAACATGGATGGCACTGGAAGGGATCATGCTCAGCGAAATAAGCCAAAAAGAGAAAGAAAAATACCGGATGGTCTCACTCATAGCAGGAATCTAGAAAACTTAAATAAGGGACCAGGAAAATGAATATAAGAAAGTGAAAATCAAAATCAACAAAAAAATATGAACCAGAGACACTTTTTGGGGGGTGGGGGGCGGGAGGGGAAGGATTGGGGTCAGAATGGGGCGTTTGCAATTGTATGGGGGAATATAAAAATAAAATTTAATATTTAAAAATAAATAAATAAATAAATAAAAATAAATCTTAAAAAAAATAAAAAAAAAAAAGAGGAGGAGGATGGAGAAGGAGAAGCTGCAGAGGAGGAGGAAGATGCGGATGGTGAGGAGGAAGAGTGTGATGATGAAGAGGATGAGGATGAAGATGTAGAAGGGGACGAAGACGAGGACGAAGACGAAGTCAGTGGGGAGGAAGGAGATTTTGGACAGGATGGAGAAGCTGATGAAGATGAAGATGACGAGGATGAGGATGAGGATGAAGAGGAGGAAGAGAGCGGAAAAGGAGAAAAAAGGAAGCGGGAAACAGATGATGAAGGAGAAGATGATTAAAACCCAAATAAACTTTAAAAAAAAAAAAGAGCGAACTGTTCAGTATCGGTTGGACTGCGCATAAGGATTTGGTAGATGTTTAAAAAAAAAAAACAGGTAGCTGTGACGCAAACCCCAGGACACCCACCCACCCAAAGAGCCAAAGAACAGTTCCTGTGACATTCCGCCCTCCATTGAGTCCCTCTTGGAAATCCACCACCAAGCTTGGAGACTTCACCCCAACAAAATTGTAAGCGTTGTTAGGTTTTCGTGTAAGACTTGCTGTAGCGGGGACAGCTGTGATTGGTGAATCACCATCTGTGACTACCAGTTATGCCCAAGTTGTAACAGCATTTTTACTTTCTGTACAACGAAGAAGCTTTGTAAATAAAATCTTAACATTTTGGGCCTGTTTTTTCATGCTTTCCTTTTTTAATGAAATTTTTTATATTAGGACATTTTATGTGTCAACTGACAAAAAAAAAGTATTTTTAAGAATTCAAGTGAAATAAACACATTACTCTTTGGTTAAAAAAAAAAAAAAAAAAACCTAAAGGGTGAAAGTCCCGCGGGCTCTTCCCTGGTCAAGAGGCCTGGCAGGGGCCATGGCCTCGGGGGGGTCACGGGGCCCCAAGACTAGGGGCGGGGGGTGGGGCGGGAGCGGTGACCCGCCCCGGCCAGCGCTGCTCCCCGGCCGGGCTCTGGCTGCGGCGGCCGCGCGGGGCCTCCAGGAGCGCTTGGAGCCTCCGCGCCGAGTGTCTGCGGAGCCGCGTCTCCTCGACCGACCGCCCGCCCAGGGGCCCGCGGCTCCGCGCTCTGGCCCGGGGAGTCGCTGTCGAACCCCGAACTGCGTGTCGTCCACGTAGCCCCCCGCGAGGTACCGGGGCTCCCCGAGGCCGGGCGGGACATCACCATTTCTAAAAGCCTCAGAGAGGGGGAGCCTGGGGCCGGGGAGGGGTGAAGCCGGCGGACCCTCCCCCCTGGGCAGGTCCTGAGTTCCGGGGAGATGGGGCAGGGGAGAAAGTGTCCAGGAGGGAGGGAGCTCCAGAGACTGAACATGGGCATCGGGTCCAGAAGGGGCAAGACTCAGGGGGACAAAAGGAGGAGGCAGGGTGGGGGGACAGAAAGGGACCAGGACTGAGGGGGCCACGGGGGGTGACAGCGGGGCCTAAGGCAGCAGCTTCCTCTGCAGAAGCCTTTTCCCTCCACCCTGCTCTCACCAGCCCAGGTGTCTGTCTGGGTCAGAGCCCTGGAGAGAAGCAGCAGGAGGAGGTTGGGGGCCCCATGACCAGCACTGCTGGGGTCTGGGGAGCTTCTGACTCCAGGCTGGTGGGTAGAGACTTACCTGGGCAGGCAGTGATGCTGACTGGTTCTCTGGGAGCCTCCAGGCACTGGGACTGAGAACTGGGGAAGAGTCACAGTGTCCAGGGCCCAGCACAGGTGGTGGAGACAGAAGTGAGGCTAAGGGGGCAGTGGGGTATCCCCAACAGTAACCTTCCTGCCCTAGACACAGCCCTGGGGCCTGGGGCTTTGCTCTGGCCCCTCCTCTCCTCACCCAAAGCTTGTCACCCTGTCTCCATGACCCAAGCGCTGGGTCTGCGATTCTCAGTCATTTTCCTTCCAGGATCCATGTCCAGTCTTACAAATTAGGGAGGACGCCAAGCATAATCTTGTTTAGGAGGTATCGCTCCCCGTATTTATCACACTGGGAATAAAGCTGAGTTTAATCATGCAGCTGTTTATTTAGAATAATAGTAATAATCCAAGCATGTTAATAGAAAGTGTTCTTAAGAAAAATAACTTATTTCTGAAAATAATCAGGGCAATGGGAAGAATGGATCTTTCACCTGTTTTATGTTTGCAGTTGTCTTTCTTGTCTGTCTCATTGTTTTTTTTTTTTTTTTTTTTTTGTCTGTCTCATTGGAAGACAGTAGGAATTTCATGCTTCCTTCTGCATTTAGCTGTGGTTCTGGTTGAAGACTATGAAAAAATGTCTACAGCCTCACACAAATATGTTGGAGTAGTGTTTTCACATTATTGTGAATATTCCACTTTGATACTAAATTAAATCTATACAGGTGGTATTTTCTCCCAGGTTATTTGCAAAACGAAACCTGAAACTATGTCACTGAATATTTCTTATTCTGTTACATTTCCATAGCCCTCTCTTGCATAAAACTAACTGCAGTTAGTTTTAATGTGTGATTTTTTAAAAATAATATATTGTTCCACAAGTTATAAAGGTTTTCAATGTTTATTACACCAGAATCAAATTATTTTAAAAAAAAATTCATTTTATTTTTCACTACAAATCCAAAAAGTAAAAGTCTACTGGAAGTTGTCAAGTGATAGGACACAATTTCATGATTCTGTTTTTTTCTGAGCACTTATATTTGGTCAAGGTGAAGTTACTCTCAGTTATCAATTGTCAGTTGATTTTCTTTTTTTTTTTAAAGATTTATTTATTTATTTACACAAGCACTGGGTACAGTCAGAAGTACGGAAAGGTGAGAGAATTCACCAGAGCCAGAGTGGGGAGCAGAACAGGCAGAACAACGAAATACACTGCTGAGGGGAGCAGCGGGCAGCCAGAGAGGTCTGAGTGCCATGTGGGACCCTAGCTGGTGGCCAGGGATCACAGCCCAGCGCACAACAGCTGTGCCACCAAGGGAGGCCCGTGTCAGTTGATTTTCTTAAAGGAGCACACACTCATTTTCAGGACAATGTCTGCTAATTAACCAAATCAAATAACCACAGATTTTGTCATTCATTCCTTCATGTGAAGGTGGTATTGCCTACAAAAAAAGAAAAATAGTCTAATTCATCACATGCAAATATTTTCTTGGCACATAATAACTGGGAACGCAGCAGGAGTGTGGTGTGTTCACTTGCGTGTCATCGCATCAGGTGCTGTAAAATGTGGATCGAAGATGATAGAATGATGAAGATAATTTTTAATGCTTCAACCAAGACACTTTGAAATGAAACTGGCTTGGAGTTGTGTTTCTGAGGTAAGTACTTGTGAAGAATAAGTGCAGTTAGTAATATAAGCTCCATTTTTAGTAAGTTTTACCTCTCAGCAGATGTCAAAATAGTGAAAAAGTCAATGGTGTCTAAGTGACATTTTGAAAATAGTTTTGACCTCGTGGATCCTGTGACAGGCTCTGGGTGACTTCAAGGATTCCACAACCACACTTTGAGAAATGCTTTTCTCAGTGAACCAGGGAGCATCTCCCAAGTGTTCTCTGCATTTGCCTCCTCTTCACTTCCCAGAATCCCTCTCCCTGGCTGGCTCCTGCCTCCCCAAGCTGCCTCCCCTGTAGACACAATGGGGAGCAGAGAGAGGACCCTGGAGACATGGAGCTTGCTCTGTCATGAGAGATGGACACTGAGTAAAGGTGACAAAGACACGGGTAAACCCGACCTGAGCCAAAGGTTGGGAGGAAGGAGCATGTTTATTATGAAAGTAGAGCAGAAGGAGTGCTTCTATCCTTTTAAATAATATCAAAAGATGTAAAAAAATAAAAAAACAGGGCCTCCCTGGTGGCATAAGGTTTAACTCTGAGTGCTATCACTGCTTAGACCTGAGTTTGATCCCTGGCCAGGGAGCAACACACATGGGGCAGCAGACCTCTCCTGTCTCACCCACTACTCCCCTCAGCAGTGGATTTCAGTGGATCGGCCTATTCTGCTCCCTACTCTGTGTCTGGTGAATCCTCTGCACCGTCTGCACCTCTGGCCTATACCCCAGTTCTTGTATGCATAAATAAATAAAAAATGATTCTTAAAAACAAACAAACAAAAAATTACATGCAACATCCAGTACAAGATCTATCTCAGACCCAGCAAACAGCAGAGGCTGGGGACCCAGTGGTGGTGCAGGTGAAACAAGACACAATGGGGGATTCAGTTAGCTGGAGTCAGGCTTTGTTGTCAAGTGAGTTTGATGGCAAACTAGAGAGGGTCAGTCCACCATCCATCTGCCAGGCCAGAAAGTCTGGGCTGGTCTGCAGCCCCAGCCAGTAGTCAGGCACCACCTGGGAGACTCAAGGGATAGCTTAAACTAGCCCTTTGTTTAATTTTTCTATATCTATATCTAAGTGATATATTTGTCTTTCTCCTTTGAGCTTATTTCCATTAGCTCCATCCATGTTGCCCCAGATGGCATGAGTTTATGATTTTTGATGAGTAGTATCCTATTATCTATGTACCATCTCTTCTACAGTTTGGCTACTGTAAATAGTGCTGCAGTGATCAGGGGGTGCCTGTTTCCTTTGAAGTAGTGTAAGGTCCTCTGCGGGTGTGCTGGCACCTGCCGCCCTAAAGGGAACCAGAGTCTCTGAGAGCACCTGCTTACTGTGCACAGGGGGTTCCAAGAGGTTAGAAGTTCTGCAAACAGAACTTCTTCTTTTTTTTTTTTTAATTTTATATATACAAGCACTGGGTATAGTCAGAAGCGCAGGAGGGTGAGAGAATTCACCAGAGCCAGAGCAGGGAGCAGAACAGGCAGAAGGACCGAAGTACATTGCTGAGGGGAGCAGCGGGGGGCAGGAGAGGACTGTTGTGCCATGTGGGACCCTCACCTGTGGCCAGGATCGAACCGGGCTGCAGAGGCTGCGGGCAGTAGAGGCTGCAAGCAGCTTCGCAGCCCAACACTCAACCACTGCGCCACCAGGGGAGGCCCCCAAGGTGGTTATTTCTAGAGCCTGAAGTCTCTTGCAATTGTGCACACCGTTGAGAACCACAGTGATGAGTCCCCTACTGGGCACTATCCTTCCTTCGGCTCCAGCCTGTAGGCCCCTATCATATGGGTACTGTATTGCTACAGCCCTTGGTTTTGGCTTTGGGGCTTTTTGGCAGCTCTCTTGTCTTAGAGCCCGGGCAGGTGGGTACCACTGCGGCCTATCCTGGCATCCCATCCTCATGCCCCGTGACTACACTTTTCAGTTGGGATCCCAGCCGGTGTCAGAGACACCAAGGGTTAAAAGTTCTTTGTGAGTTGCTGGACAACACCAACAACAAACAGCTCTTTCAGACAGAGACCCTGAGCCTTTGGTGCTCCTATCAGGTGATGTCAGACACCAACTGGAGGCCCCATGTCTGACAGAGGTCTTCATCCTCTCTTCCTCCTGCAGAGGTTGGCTACTGGATGCTGCTTTTCTTCTTTCAGCTTCTGGTTCTCCTTTCTTCAGAGGCCAGGAACAGAGTCTTCCCCTTCTTTCTTTGGAGGTTGGAACAGAGCCCCTCAGCTCCCTCTAACCCTGGCTTATATCACTCTTCAGGGTGTCCCAACATCAAGTCTGGTTGGACCATTTTTCTTTTTTTGTGCAGAAGAACTGGGGTATTGGCCAGAGGTGTAGAGTGAGCAGAACAGGCAGACTGACTGAAACACACTGCTGAGGGGAGTAGCTGGCA